GCACATCTTGAGCAGGTAGTTTGCACAAGTAGGATGTCTCTTTGAGTAGTCATTATCTAGTGTTTCTTGCTGTTCTCAACTATTTTCCTTTTGGTATCTAGCTGTTAAATCTGCTAGATGTTGTAGTCCAAAACACAGAAAGCAAATCAAATGCGCGTGAAGAACCTGGCACATCCTCTACAGAGCAACTGCCTGGTCCTCCAGTCCAATCTGCTGCTGAAATGAATACTGAATCTCATGCAGCTTCATCTGAGGTTGAGGACAAATCTGGAGCATCGTCCTCTATCACAGGCAGAGACCAAAGTACTGAAAGTATTCTACTCAGTCTACCACAATTAGAACTTCGACGTCTGTGCTCATTGCTTGCCAGAGAAGGGTAAGCTAGTTCCTAATCCTGTGATGTGTATTTGAAATTGTAGATTCTAGGTTTGATGTGACAAGTTCTATAGATATTATTTCTGTGAGGCACCCCTTAATTTATAGACTTGTGTGTTTGCCTGCAGGTTGACATACTTTATACTTTACTAATTTTGCACTTAACGTATTTTCTTTCTTGTTTAAATGTGGGATCAGTAAATTAACTGACTGCTTGGTGTGACGGTCTTGTCGAAATTTCCGTGCTTATGACTTCTATTTAGGCATTGGATTATCTGTTTGGTTGTACATACACTTATTTGATATTCTAATACTTCGCTATTGATTTCAATGACCAAGTAATTTTTGAATCTTCAGTGGGTTATTTTTACTCGAGTCTCGCTGAACAATGTATTATTCTATTTATTATTGAAGCTTTTTAATGTTTTCTTCTTTTATCAGTCTTTCAGACAATGCTTACTCTTTGGTAGCTGAGGTACTGAAAAAGTTGGTGGCCATAGCTCCTGCCATTTGTCATTTATTTATTACTGAGCTTGCTGGCTCGGTGCAAAGTCTGACCAGATCTGCGATGGATGAGCTAAACAAGTTTAGGGAAGTGGAAAAAGCACTGCTCAGTACCACTTCAACTGATGGCGCTGTGATACTCAGGGTTTTACAAGCATTAAGCTCTCTTGTTGCTTCAATTGGTGACAAGAACAACGAGAATCAAATTATTTCTGAGAAGGAGCACGGTGTTACTATCTCCCTGGTTTGGGACATTAACACAGCTCTAGAACCTCTATGGCAGGAGCTGAGCACTTGCATTAGCACAATGGAGAGTTTTTCAGAAACAGCACCCAACCTGCCTCAATCATCTATTGTTACCTCATCTAAACCTGCTGGAGCAATGTCTTCGCTTCCTGCAGGCTCACAAAACATTTTACCGTACGTAGAGTCCTTTTTTGTGATGTGTGAGAAGTTGCATCCTGGGCATTTGGGTGCAGGACAGGAGTTCAGTATTGCGACAGTTCCTGATCCAGAAGAGGCTACTGCTTCTGCTATGCAGCCAAAAACACCTACATCTGCAACAAAAGTTGATGAGAAGCACATTGCTTTTGTAAAATTTGCAGAGAAGCACAAAAAACTTCTTAATGCTTTTGTTCGGCAGAATCCTGGACTACTGGAGAAGTCTTTCTCGATCATGCTGAAGGTTCCTCGTTTTGTTGATTTTGACAATAAAAGGTCCTACTTCAGATCTAAGATTAAACATCAACATGATCATCATCACAGTCCTCTGAGAATTTCTGTGAGAAGAGCTTATATACTTGAAGATTCATATAATCAGCTGCGCATGAGGACAACTCAAGAATTGAAAGGGAGATTGACTGTACATTTCCAAGGGGAAGAAGGAATTGATGCTGGTGGACTTACTAGGGAATGGTATCAGTTATTGTCCAGAGTAATTTTTGACAAGGGAGCGCTATTGTTTACTACAGTTGGCAATGAAGCAACATTTCAGCCAAATCCCAACTCTGTGTACCAAACTGAGCACCTCTCATACTTCAAATTTGTTGGGCGAGTTGTGAGTATTTTCCTTCTTGGTTCTGTTTGCTTGACTCATTTATTTTTAAACAATATTTAATGTGCTTTATGTAAATATCCCAGGTTGGGAAGGCACTATTTGACGGCCAACTTCTTGATGTTCATTTTACACGGTCCTTCTACAAGCACATACTTGGTGCTAAAGTGACATATCATGATATCGAAGCTATTGATCCTGACTACTTCAAAAATTTGAAATGGCTGCTTGAGGTGCAGTGTTTTTTCTGTTCTCTGTGATTATATGTCCAAAAATTTGCTCTGCTCACGTTTCTTGTTTTGTGTAGAATGACATCAGTGATATTTTAGACCTTACATTCAGTATTGATGCTGATGAAGAGAAGTTGATACTTTATGAACGCAATGAGGTATGAGTTCTTCTGCGGCAATTGAATTTTAAGCATTGTTGTTAGAAAGGCTCTGATTGCAATTTGTGTAATGCAGGTGACTGATTATGAACTAATCCCAGGTGGACGAAATATCAGAGTCACGGAGGAAAATAAGCAACAGTATGTCGACTTGGTTGCTGAGCATCGGTTGACGACTGCTATCCGTCCTCAGATAAATGCATTTTTGGAAGGATTCAGTGAATTGATTCCGCGAGAGCTGATCTCTATTTTTCATGACAAGGAACTTGAGTTGTTAATTAGCGGTCTTCCAGACATCGATCGTATGTTTCACTATTTCCTTTATTTGTTAATTCATGTGGTAATTCTATCTTAGATAGTTATTGTCAGTATCAAGATAGAGTTGCTTCTTACAATTAATTTGCCCCTTGGTTTGCAGTTGATGACTTAAGGGCAAATACAGAATATTCTGGATACAGCCCAGGTTCACCTGTTATTCAGTGGTTTTGGGAAGTTGTTCAAGCTTTTAGCAAGGAAGACAAAGCTCGCCTTCTTCAATTTGTCACTGGAACCTCAAAGGTAGTTTGTTGCTTTCATTTGATTATAGTTGCATGTTAAATGTCTCCTGCAATCATCAAACAAATCTGTGTGTAATTCTCCAGGTGCCATTGGAAGGGTTTAGTGCACTGCAAGGAATTTCAGGTTCCCAGAAATTTCAGATCCACAAAGCTTATGGCAGTGCTGATCACCTGCCTTCAGCACATACATGGTAATTATTTGATCATCTGAAACTAAATTATGATTGCCCTTCTTGATGCTGAAGCTTTGTGCCAGTAAAAGAACCATGTTGCTTCTCTTCTAGTTACTCAACCTTCTTATGTTTATGTAGCCATTTTAAATTACCTGTATTGCTGAAGATTCCAGTAGAAGTTCATGTTGCGTCCTGTGTCCAAATTGTCTTCTTTTGCTTTCTTCTGATGTGCATCTACTCAATTGAATTGACGTCTCTTCTCTATGAGATGGGAATCTTATATGAATATTTCAATTAAATGTCGACTATAAGTATTTATCCTAATCCCAATTAGACTTCAACTACTAGCAGCAAATAGAAACTTCTCCCTTTGAGTTCGGAGGGAGTATTCGGAATTCTACTTGTATGTATTCTTTACTTATATACTGTGAACACTCCTTAACTATTATTTGCTGGTTGCAGTTTCAACCAGTTGGATCTACCAGAGTATCCCTCCAAAGAGCATCTAGAGGAGAGACTACTGCTTGCCATTCATGAAGCTAACGAAGGATTTGGATTTGGTTAAAACAACAATGGGTGGTCTGAATTAGATTCTGTAGATAATTTCCATGTTAAAAAAGAGAGTTTTTTTTTTATATATACAGGAGAACAGTCTAAGGGCATTTTAAGTCTGTGAGATACCTGTCTATAATGCTGTACAGTCTATTTGCTATGCGAAATGATCCTGGCAGTTCTTTTTTTTTGGCAGTCGTTTGTTTATCTTCTCTTTTCCCTTTGTTTCTCTACTTTCTGCTTGTCTTTGTCACTATTGTTGCTTGTAGGTGTTGCAAATTTATCACTCCCATGCTCTCTATTCTGAATACTGAGAGTAGACCATTCCCTTTTCTATGTGATGTTCTCATTATTGCCGTTCATCAAGTACCTAAAAGTTCATATTGCGACACAGAACAAAGACCATCTGATATATGTAAATAATGGTGTGACATTTTCACAAGGACGTGTAAATTACACTTTCCTGTATACTTGCACGACTATGGCGCTATGATAAAATACAAAGTGGGTGTGGAACTTTTGGCATAATATGGTGATATCACTACGTTTATTAGTCTAAGAGAATAACAACTAAAGCCCCAAATAAAGGACTAGAGAGAATTTGATCTTGAGGAGGGCAAAGGGGAAAACAAGAAGTTTGGCACTCCAACTTTTGTTGCTTATACTTGGGGTAGTTGGGTTCTGCCATAGCCTAACCTCATACCCAAAAGTTTGAAGTTAGAAGAGCCTGAACTTTATAATTTTTGGACTGATGGTAGGCTCTCTCTATCTGAATAAGGCATAGAATTAGAAAAAGCCGTTTTTAATGAGTTAGGTGTCTAAATCAGAACTCGTGAAGTATTGGAGCTAGAAACTCAAATTTGTGCAAGTATGAATGTACTATTCATGAAATGTAACCAAATATAAATGAAGGTTGTCAATGATGTCTTCAATTAAAATAGTTAATAATTAAATAACTTTTTGAGATAAAAAATAATGTAATAATATAAATGCAATAAATTTAACGACAAATGACTATTAATAAAACGAAAAATTAACCATGGTACAAGTGGGAAATTTTTCTACAATATATGCTTCTTCTCTTTTCCCTCTCTTGTGTAATAGAAAATAAAAAACAAAATGCTTTGAAGAAAATTTATGTTGTACCTTAAAGTTGTTACACCTACCTGAATGCAATAATTGCTCTTCAGGAATTTTCATTTTCGTCGACTTGAGTTTGATATAATATATTTTTTTTCAAGTTTCATACGCAATTAATAAAAAAAGCTTATTTCAAATGAATTCAATGCGAATTAAAATTTGTCGACTTTTAGTGGGAAACCAAAGAGAAAAGGCAGTATGAATTTATTTTCTATTTTTGTTTTCATTTTTCTCCTATGGATAATTGACCAAACATTGACTCCTTAGCCTGAAAGTCTCTTCGTTTCCCTTTATAATTCCCACTGTCATGTTTATTTCCCTTTGCTTTCCCAAAACCAATCAAATAAGACATGCATGTAAAAATAAAATAAAAATAAAAGTCCAAAAAAAATTGGTTTAACAAAAGAAAGCAAGAACTTAGAAAAGTAACAATGGGTTTGATCAGCTTTCTTCTGATTTCAGCTAAAATTTTGATCTCTTGGTAAGTATCATCCATTCCTCTCCCACCAAGTCTTCCTCTTTCTTGATCAAAAAAAAAATTAAAAAATCTTGCTTTATTTTGTTGACAAAAAAAGACTCTCTTGTTTTTTTTTTCCCTAAGATTTTCATAGTAAAGACATGATGGGGCTAAATAATCATAGGATGATTTTGGATTTTGTTAATAGTTGTAGCGCATTGTGCTTGTCAATTTTATGTCCTATTTTTTCAGGTTTTTGTTAAGCCCCCTTTCTATATATATATATACACATGGTAGAAAGCGAGAGAAGAAAAAATTAACATTTTAAGTTTTGTCTTTGATCAGCTGCTCTTGACTTCCATATATCTAATTTTTTTTTAATTATTGGTTTTTGTTTTTTTCTACAGTTCTTTCTGGATATTTTGCAGACCATCAGTGACATTGCTGTGTCCTCTGTGAGTTAGTAAAAAGAGAATTTTTTTTTACCATTTGTTTGTTTGAGTTTTTGTTGGATATGTGAAATTGGGATATTTAGGCATTTGAGTTATGTTACATTCTTGATAAAAACAGATATGCATCAATTCGGGCGATAGAGAGTGATAAAGAATCCAGCTACGAAAAGTGTCTTCAATATTGGGTCCTATTTGGATTAACCACAGTATTGGAATTGACTCTTGCAAAGCCTTTGACAGGGTAATCTTTTATTTTGCTTTCATCCAAAGACATGTCTTTAGAATTCTTATGTGTTAAGTTGATACCTTATGATATTGGTGGTTAAATTTTAGGAACATATTAATGGTTGGTAGTACGAATGCAAGTCAGGTTATGAATGGAATTGCATTCTTTGTTATTCGTGTCAGCTATTATTTGCAGAGAGCTATGGTGTTTTTATGTATTGTTATTATTATTCTCTTTGATTTTAGTACATTTTGTTGTTGCGACTTGTCTTTTTCTTAATTGTTTTTAGTATTGGCTTCTTCACTACTGTATTGGTTTTACTTGTTTTTGGATATGCTTCACTTGAGCTAAGGGTCTATCGGAAATAACCTTTCCACCTTCATAAGGGAGGGTAAGGTTGTTGTGTACACACCATACTTCCCAGACTACACTTGTGGGATTGCACCGGGTATGTTGTCGTTGTAGCTATGGTGCTTTATACTAAGAATATAATTCTACTTCATTGTAGCAAGTGTTGTGTATGTAACACTTATGTTGGATATATATTTGTTCTCATAAATGGTTGGTCATTGATGAATACTATATGGCATAAGAACTTCCAAATATATAAATGGTTGGTCATTGATGAATACTACTACCAAAATAGAAGCCAAGGCTCATTTCAGTACAACCACTTCATTCATTCTTTGGATGTTTGAGAGAAATATTCAGCTTCTGCAATTTACAGTGACACAATCTACCTTTGGATGAGAAAATGTATGGAGTTATATGTTAGTAATTACAAATTCAGAATCTTTATTGCAATTTGTAGTTAAGTTTGGCTGTTCTTATCGTGCTCGGTTCATGAGTCTCTCACCAAGGGTGTCTTAAACCTGAAGGAAATTTTTTCAACAATAACTAAATCTGACCTAAGTGCATTGATTTCTTTAGGTTTTCATTTTGGCATTATGCAAAAGGATTAGCATCCCTCTTGCTCGTACTGCCTCAGTTTGGTGTTGCTTCTTATGTGTATATGAACTTTGTTAAGCCATGTCTTTCCCCAAATCCACACATAGAATATGTCACAGAAAAGAACAAGAGCATGCCCATGGAGCTAAGTTGTGCAGACTCTTCACTTTTAATGTCGCACCCGCGTCGGGTTCTCCAAAAATACACTACTTTTGGAGAATCCGACACACAGCTGTTGACATGTACAAAGAGTTCGAGCAACATAGCCATGAAGTGCAGTAATTATGTTGATGCAGCACCCCGACATGTTGAAAAATATAAAAAGGACAACCTGCAAAGTTTGGTCATTTATGAGGTAATCATAGTTTTCCCCTACAAACACCTCTCCTATGATCTTAAGACGGTGACATGTTCATGATCATTTTCTTTATAATTCTGTTTCAGGCTGAATCTTCTCCTAAATGTGATCGGACAATTTGTCCTAAGAAAGTTCAGATGGACTGGAGCTGCCCGCTCTGTCTGGTGAGCGTCTCCAGCGAGAAATGTCTAAAGCAACACATCAAAGGTAGGAAGCACAAACTGAAGGAAGACGAACAAAGGGAACATGAAATGATCATGGCAAGTAAAGAAGCTAAACTTGCTTCAAAGTTGGAGGGAAATTATTTAAAAGATTTACTTGAGAGTTTGAACCAGATAAAATCTCTCAAGTTTGTGGAATTAAGAGGCTTTAATTTGCCTATTAGAAGACCATTAAGGTGCTGCACTTGGAAAAAGCCCAAGCCTGGATGGACAAAGCTAAATACTGATGGATCTATAGACCGGAAAAGAGCTGGTCTTGGTGGTTTGCTTCGTGATTATGAAGGTGCTGCTATATGTGCTTGTGTCTCTGAAGTTACATGTGACGATATCTTCTTGGTTGAGTTACTGGCTATATGGAGAGGTCTTATGCTTGCTGTCAGTATCGGGATCAAAATGATATGGGTAGAATCCGACTCGATGGGTGCAGTGAAAGCTATTAACAAAGAGCAACCACATAATCAGAAAGCTGCTAGCTGCCTTCAACACATTTGGAAAATGTTAAACAAGTTTCAGAAGTACCAAGTCACTCACTCGTGGCGTGAAACAAACCGAGCTGCTGATTATTTATCAAAGATGGAAATATCAGGAAGTGACATTGTTATGTGGCCTAGAGAGTTCCATGGTCCCCTTTGCAAAATTATTGCTGAAGATGCTCAAGGAAGCTTGTACATTAGACGATAATCCATAAATCCATCAAATGTGGCTCGGTAAAATTGTTATATACATCAGCTTTTTGTTGCTAACAGAAGACTACCACCTGGAAAGTTGCAGGCTTGCTGTACATTACAAGGTAAGTAATTTTTGTTTCCAAAATGTCAGTGCCAACTTGTACGCACCTCGACAAATCCACTGGGTCAAGTACCATTTAAAGTAGGTAATTGCCCCAGTTGCAAATATATTTACTAATGCATCTGGTCTTCTGATGTGCTTCTTGTAATTAAGTTTCTAAGCAACAATGCCTTTCTTGCCTTACTATATTATGGAAGTACAAAATTTTATATATATATATATATATATATATATATATATATATTCAAAATTATTATAAAATCATGTTGTTTGTGTTAGTTTTCTATCTAGGGAACTTTTAATTAGCATTGTAATGGAGAAATGGAACGACGAAGGAGACGAGCAACACTGAAAATGGAACAAGAAATTGTATGGAAGAATAAAAAAAATGAAAAAGAAAATATGACATGGATAAAGAAAAAAAGAAAATAAAACTAAATCTTTTCACCATTGACATGTTGTCAACTTGTCACTGAGGTGGCGCTGATGTGGCCGCGTGTATATCACCTCCCAACCATGAAGTAAGTATTGTATATGTAAGGTTGTATTTAATTTACCTGAAAGTTCTTTAAGAGGGTACTTAAACATCCGTATAGTTACAGTGCTAAAATAAGTTTTACGAACAAATTTGAGAGGGATTTTATGTATTTTCCCTAACAAGAATGAGGATGATTTCTTCGAACATAATAATATAGTTTTGGGAAGTCTTTTTATGCTCTGGAGATTGTTTTGAAAATTTATAATATTCATGATATTGAAAAAGATGATAGAAAATGAGATGAACTCAAGTAGTAAATAGAACTGAATGACAACCTAGTGATTAACTTAAAACGAAAGAGCCAAAACTCTATCCAACAAAACTAGTCGATCGTCAACATAATATTATTAAGCTGGTCTTCAAGGTCTATGAAATCAAGCCAGTGTGGTAGAATTTCTGCGACACTCACACACCATATTCATGTAAAACTGACATTTGCTTAGGTCGCCTCCGTTGATATTGAGACACTGCAACAAACAAAACACACCTTATTATGTTGCCTTGGTTGGCTATATGAACTCTCAATACCCTAATTTTATAAAAATATTAACTAAATACTATCTTATTTTATCATAATTTCAAAAAATTTCTATCATTTATAAAAAAGAATTCAAAAATCCATACATTCAATTCTCTCTAATACATTCCTTTTCTATGTATCCAAATCCGAATGTGCTATCCATTGGTAATGTATCCGAAATCCATAAATTTTAAGGAATTCTTGTAATTTGAAAAAATGATAGAGAAATAATGTAATTCATTCTTAACATTTCATTATTGCTCTATCATGGGATTTAGGAAAATTATGCTAATTTTATAGCATTAACAAGCAAATGCAACAGAGAAGCTATCGAAAATTAGCATATATACCTCTTGGAAAGCTGTCATTGAGGCAGCACATGAAGCAGCTGAGGGGGCAGGATCAGCCCCCTGAACCTCGTGTTTAAAAACCCGAGGGCCAAACACGGCATCTGCTATCCTATGGCCAACTGCATTTCCACTACCAAAGGCCATTCCTGTTTTTTTACCACACCAAAATATGAGCATTGAGTATATACAAATTGATGCTATTAGAATCTGACTATAATTGATTTGGTTATATCGTAAACCTAATTGGTTATTTCCAATTACGTAAATCAATAGTTCAAGTTGTCTATTTGAAGCAATTACTGACCATCGGTAAATGAGGAACCAAGATCTCCTGCTGCAGGTTAACTCTGTACAGGAGCAGGAGAAGCTGCAATAAATGGGAACCAAAATTCTGAAAGTCATAGAATAACAACAATGACATACACAATGTAATTTTAAGTCGGTAATTTGAGGCACTGCGAAAATTTGAGGCACTGCGAAAATTGTAAAGGAATTAATGAGATGATCATGACTTGCCAGGCTTCGGATTTGGCTTCGGTGAAGGTGAATTCTTCAATGGCTTATCAGCAGCAGCAACAGGAGGAGATGAACGGGATTTTGACCATGGAAACCAACTTCCTGCAAAAGAAGCTGTGTCATATTTTCGTATCACAGCTTTTTGACACCACTTACACTCATGTTCATTCAACTTTTTTGGTGATAACTGAAAACGAGAATATTTTCTGCTAAACAATATCGATTGATCTTTGCGAAAAAAATTGTCTCACCAAAACACATTTTTTTGGCACAGGAAAAATTAAAATTAACTGACATTATTTTACATGGCATCCATGCACATAACCACTCAACCTTACAAACAGTCTGCCCCTTTGCAAACCATGAGACTGAATATCCAATGTAATTTACTCAAATAAAAAAAAATAAAAATATACATATACATTTCTACAAAAAAAAAAAAAAAAAAAAAATCAATGATTACAGACCTCCGCTGCTGCTACTACTGGATCTGAACCCACCACCACTTCGACGACCCATGATATTCAAAAGAAGAAATATGAAAAGCAAAAACTGAGCTGTGAAGATGGCAGACTCAAGCTGAAAGGCTTGGGTTTATATAAGGGAGTGGGTTGGAGTTGCTTGAGGAACAAGATGGATTTCTATTGGCCAACACGTGGTGGAATTTTTCCTCTGCAACACTCATATTTTATTTTATTTTGAGATGAGATTTTTTTTTTCTTTCATATTTTAAAATTAATATTCTTTTCGCATAGCTTAAAAGTTTATATTTTTATGCTGAGTTAATTGCTTGCATTATTTCGTTATATATATGTTTGATTAAAATAAAAATAAATATTCAGAAGCAAATCATACAATTAAATGTCATATATATTTTCTAATACGTTAAAAGATACTCCTGCGATTCAAATGAATACCTATAAAAGTTAAAATTGATCTAAGAAAAAAAAATATTTCGTCCGTCTCTATATTCATAGAGTAATTCTCAACTACGAGATTTAAGCGTATTTCATTCTTGTACATAACTACTCCCTCCGTTCGAAAATGTTTGTTATGTTGCGCTTATCGAAAATCAATTTGATTAATTTTCACAGGTAAATTAGATTACATTAATTTGATATATTAAATCAAAAAATTAGATATTCTAAAACTATATGAAAAGTACTATAAATTACAATTTTTTTGTATATTAATATGATGAAAAAATGCATTGTAAAATGTTAGTCAAAGTTTTTATAGTTTAACTCTAAAAGTAGGAACCATAAGAAACAATACCGGACGGAGGAAGTACGTATCATTAAGTTACGAAGATGACTTGGTAAGCTTAAGAATGTCCACGATATTTCTCACTTGAACTTTAAATGAAGGTGTCTTTGGTATGAATGTGTTCTTCAATTTTTTCATATCCAGTTTGATCAAAACATTTTAAAGGAGATTTTCTTTAAGAAAACAAATTTCCTAAAAATGAGGAAACAAATTTCTTTAATGAAACTAGGAAAAACAAGTTTCATATACGACAAGTAACATTTCAATTTCATTGTCTCCCAGCCACACACGCTCCACCTCAGACCTTATCTTACCTTCGTAGAAAAAAATCTGCTTACATATCAAACATAAGAAAATAACTACGAAACGTATTTATTTTTTCAAGAAACTATCATTTTACGTGAAAACACACCCTCTAGAGTTTCTTTGGCTTTAGGCTCTACATTAACATTTTCCTTTTCAGCTTTATCACACCCTCTAGAGTTTCTTTGGCTTTAGGCTCTACATTAACATTTTCCTTTTCAGCTTTATCTATTGTGCACTCACCAAACATTGTAACAGAAACGAGAAAACATAGTAATCCCAGAGTTGAAAAATTACAACTCTGTCAACACAACTCAAAGTCTTCAACACAAAATTTGGTTATCATAACTAGGCATAAAAACATTTTCACCTTCTGCATGCATTCAACTCAAGATATACAAATATAATATATGCTAAATCAACACCCATAGTCACGTATCTGAATCTGAACTCACAAGAAGGTGACCTAAACATCAAGTTCTCGAGCCTTACGCGATTTAGCTTTATCCTATACTTCCATCCACTCTCTCAAGTCTCATCAAACACAACAAATTTACCGACTCCAACCTCTCAGGGTGTCGAAGTTGTTCAATTTTGCAATAAACATCTTATTTTAGGTAAAAAAAAATAAGCAAATTCAATACATCCAACTGGAGATAGACCATCACTTTACAGAACACAATTTGCAATTGTCATGCTAGCATGTCTGAAGTAGACATTGCAAACTGTTATATTACAGCGATATTCAAACCTAGACACGATAAGCCAACTGTATTAAAATACAAGAGCTAAAATTTCTAATAAATTCTGAAGGCGCTTAACTAGAAGTGCACTACAACATTAGCAAAGACTTGTAGCCACTATAACAATAGCAAAGGCTGAAAAATGTCATCGACTATATTGAATCATCAGAATCCTCAGATTCAGTTCTATCAGGATCCTCACCAGCTGTCCCGGGCTCAGAAATGTCAGGCTTTGTTGCAGGTTGTGCCACTTTCTTGTTCACATGGCGTGCACTTGCTTCACCTCCTTCCTCTTGCTCGACAACTTCTATATGTAATCGATTAGTTAAGGAGTAACAAAAATGATAAAGATGAAACTTTAAAGCTCAAAGCATTAAAGTTTCCCTGACATTACCACGATTCCTGGTAAATAGTCAAACAGAAATTTTCACAAGTTCTTTCACCAGCAAAAGTTGTCCAACTGACTCTGGTGTACAAGCTAACAAATGTCAATTTACCAACAGCATAGCTAGGATTTGTTAAAACTCGCAGTTCTAATTTGTCAGAATATAGCCTATATAAACATTTAACATAAGTCTATTTAGCAACTTCCATTCTCATATATAGACCACGTGTCATTCTATTTAAACTAGAGGAGAAAAGAAATATGAAAGGATATCAATATTCTCAGCTGTTCCACCAGACATTATGTTCTGCAAGTCTTTCTCAACACGCCGAACAAGCTCAGGCTGCGAAAAGTATAACAGGCACATTGTAAGTACAAGGATACTTACCAGAAAAAATATATAAAACTAGAAAAGGGCGGATCAAGGGATAAGGAGAGCTCCACTATATTTACGAACAGATTTTATTCCAATTCATTTATCAGCAGAGAACCAGATAAACTGAGAAGCCTCAGGTAGAATAAGCCCCTATTTGCTTTCACATACATACCCCAAGCCCTCCAAAAAAAATCATACCCCCATTCCACAGAATAGATAGCCCACCCATGACATTCTCTCTATCGGGACAAACTAGAAAGTAAATAAATGAGTTTTTCTCAGGAAAGTAAGACTGTTACATTAAGATCTGGCTCTCTCCGAAATCTTCGTCTTCGTGCATCTCTCATTGGAGGTGTGAGGCCATGTCTATATTCCACCACATCTGGAACAGGATCACCTTCTTCTCTCACCATAATCATCTGTCAGATCAACAAAGTTTACATTCTAGGAACAATGACGATTGAAAAATCATATTCATATAACTGAAGGGAAAAAGAAAGATTAATCCTAACCCTACTTGACCAATGTCTGCGGATTTAATGAGCACGTTGTCATCATAAGTTTTGTACGACTCCACTATGCAAGGAAGATTCAAAAGTGATGCAGGAAAGTGCACATCGCCTATGACAAAACTGCCCGTCTTTCCATCCTCTGAAAAGAACAACACTTGTTCAAAAAGCACATGCATGAAGTATGATAAGATGCTTAAAAGATGAGTACTACAACAACAACATATAATTCCACAAGTGGGTGGGTGGGGTGGGTGGGTGGGGGGGGGGGGGGTACTTGGGAGGGTAGAGAGGTTGTTTTCGATAGACCCTCAGTTCACTGAAAAGCATATTAAAGCAGATCAAAAAAGAAATAATCAGAAGTGAATAAATCATGGAAAAATACAATAAAAAGCATGGCAAAGCATTCCCTAAAAAACAGTAACTACAATAAAATGGTGCATAATCACAGATGACTATATATCTTCATCTACAAAGTTGAAGAACATGATGCAATGGTTGGCAATAGAGTCAAATTTGTGTCGCAAGTCAGAAATCCCGGTTAATTTGTAGGATAGTCCGGTATTAAATAAATTATAAAAAAGATCCAGAAAATATGGTACTTTACCCCAACTAGCACCAACTAATTTGTGGACATTGACAAGTTTCTAGAGCTAATTCTTAGTTGCTGATACATGAAACCTTGTACTAATTGTCTCATGCAACTTTTGAATAAGAACTATTAGAGTAGGATTAAGATTGTAGCAGTGCTTCTTAATCCTTGGTTTTTATTTCTATTGAAGTTTCTTCATAGTCTACCTATAAATGAAAAAAATTAAAAGGCTCCAACTCTAAGTCAAGAACCTGATATGAGATCATTTATCTTTAGATTGACGGAGTGACTGGTCTCACTACACCCCAAACTAAAAAAAGAAGATCAGAACCTACCCTAATGTACATACAGGGGGATTTATGCTGTGAAGGAGGAGAAATCAATGAATAACTGTCTTCCAAACTCTTTCACCATTTCAAAAGGATTGTATTCCTCTCCGGAAGGAAGAAAGCAAGAGAACAATACAGCATAGAATACCTATGTCTTAATCCAACTCATTAAGACATACCACAAATATACTTACACAATCAGCAAGCTATAGATAAAAACAAAAGAAACCAGACGGTACGAGATATATATGTATATATATCCACACACGCAAAAAGGAGAGGAGAAAATCTCTCTAAAGAACAATCAAAATGCGCTGCCTTCTCTCTAAATTATTTCTCTCTCTAACCTGTGCTAACGGTCGATTTATTTGGGCCAGAGCCCAACGGACCACCACCTGTCCCTCCTGATATCCGCACCTCCACCCTTACTCAGCCCCCAACTGTAACAAACAAAGAGATGACTATCACCGGAGCAACCCAATTCAACCACGATGGAAACCTTTCCTCCTCTCGAATCAACCACAAAGACACCGTTCCTTCTCCAACTCTCGAGAACAGTGTTGAGACTATTCGAAATCCAGAATCATCTTCTGAAGATGATGTAAGGAACAAAGAGAATTTCTCGGGTGAACCTGTTACGCAGAACGAGAAGGGTGACACAACCATTAATCACAACACCACTAATACCAATTCTCGAAAGGATTCTTTCCCAAAAATGTCCTCCAATTTTGATAAAGCCCCCAAATCTGCTGATCAATCTAATACGTCCAATGATAATACTAAAGATGGGGCCAACATAGCTTCACAAGCTGGTGCCGAAAAACAGATGGAATCCTACATCTCCAAAGCTTCTTTTGCAGCAGCTGATCAAGGTAAATTTGCAGAGCAGTCTAAGAATCTCTCCGGTGGAAATTACTCACAGTAATCATCTAGGTAAACCAGCTGTTTATTTAATTGCCAATGATTACTTTGTTAATCTAGCTGAGTCATGCAAGTTTACCATAGTAGAAAAATATTCCAAGGGCAAACCTACTGTGGAGAAATAAGGAAATCTTTAGCTACAAAATTTCACCTCAAAGATTCTGCCAAAGTGGCTTACTTCAACCCTCAACATGTCTATTTGGATTTTTCAAATGAAACAGATTATAGTCATATCCTTTTCAAAAGTTGGATTCACATTGGTGATACTCCTATGAAAATTCTCAATTATACTCCGGATTTCAAACCCGAAGTGGGAACCTCAATCGCTCCTACTTAGATTCTTATTCATAAGCTGCCGTGGCACCTTTTTCATTGGGACATAGTTTGAGGATTTTGAATGCTGTGGGAACTGCGGTTGCTCCTGATCAGGCCACAGACTCAAAGTCTAGAGGCGATGTGGCTA